ATATATTTACAAATATCAATAATTTTGTTGTTTTTCAATTACGTCCCTAAATATGTGCAATTATCATTAACAATATTAAAGTATTTAAGCTTAATCCTACGAATGTGCATGCTCGTTGGACTGCCGCTGGATGATCTCCTACAAAAGTAAAAAATAGAGTTTTTATTCAAAGAGCATTATATTGAAAGATTTAATTTACCATTTAATATGTGGACATAAACGGATTTCGAGTTGGCATTAGATGGCAGACAAGTATACTTCCCAGAATCCGAAATCTGGGCCCGTTGTATGAGCAAATAAGATGTCGTTATGTCACCTTTTTCGGTTATAACTGACACTCCTCCACGTGGCGAATCATAATTAATTTCCTAAAAACAAAAAACGTAGAAATTGCAATTAATTATCAAAAGATTATTGCTATTGTGCTGGGTTGACACAAATCGAACTGCTCCAAACTTTAAAATATATATTTTCCTTAATTTGGATTTTAAAGATTTCCTACTTTAACACGCGTCACTGTCTACGCCTTCGTTTCGTTTTATTTTCACTTTCCAACTTAAGTATTTTTTTAGGCTAAATTGAGGAATATTTTCGAGCACTTAACTATCTGATGACAGTCACTAAATTAGTAAGCTTAACGATAATCAAATATTCTTCACACTAACTTGATTATTGTGAGTCCAGTGCACCATTAGGGGTGGATCAGGAAGATGTTTGACGATACAAGTTAAATTTACAGTTGATCCCAAATCGATGTATAATTCTGGTCCTCCTGGTATAGTTGTAATTGGTTCTGAAATCAAATATAATAATCGTATATATAATAGCTATGATAGCCAGCGGAAAATTTACTTAAAACCAAATAATCAGATGATTAAATGTTGGACAGATGTTGAGTATACAAAGCATATTACATAATTATTATATTCGAAATGAATATTGTATATATTTTAAAAAGCGTAGCGCTGTAGCTAACTGCAGATGCGAGATTCGCTTGATTTGGAGCTTTTCTGCATCAATAAAACATTTGTAAAGGATTAAGTATACTATAAGTAGGGTAATAATGACCACATCCGTGGAAGCAATAAAAATCTAGCAAAATGCTGTATAACTTTTGTACAGTTCTCTTTACTTCATAACGATCATGTAATTTTTTCAATTCTTCCCGGGGTACGAAAGGAAAGTATGGTTGCAACGTTCCATTGTGGGACTCTGTCTACGTTGCCCATGTGCGTGGACCGGGCAAACAATGAAAAACCCGCCAGATGTGTGCACATTCCCGCCAACCACGCTAACGGCGCTGTGCGATAGATAAATTTCTCAACATATCGAAGCATCGTCAAGAGTAGGTCTTTAAGCTATCATTTTCGCTTTATATTTTTTTATATTTCGATCGTAAAACATACCCACAACAGAGAAAATCATTGTATATCCCACTGGAGGTGTTGTTGATATTTGGCACTCGTAAACTCCGGAATCCCTTATTTGTGGATATTTGATCTAAAAAGGAAATATAATTAAATTAGTCAAATTAATTTCACAAAGCGTAACTTGTGTATACGCTATTGTACTATATATAATTTATATCGATTATACATTCATGTATGTATATCTTGCTCAAAGATATAATTTATGAAATTTTAA